TGGGGAAGAGGGTGGAGGTAGGGAGGGTGGAGGGATAGGGGTGTAGGGAAGAGTGGGTGGAGGGTAGGGAGGGTGGAGGGGATGGGGGGGTGGGAAGAGTGGGTGGAGGGTAGGGAGGGTGAGGATAGGGGGGGTAGGGAAGAGTGGGTAGGTAGGGAGGGTGGAGGGGATGGGGGGTGGGAAGAGGGTGGAGGGTAGGGAGGTGGGGGTGGGAAGAGGGGTGGAGGGGTAGGGAGGTGGAGGGATGGGGGGTAGGAAGAGGGGTGGAGGGGTAAGGGAGGAGAGGAGAGAGAGAGATAGGGAGGTTGGGAAGGACAAGAAGCGGAAGATGGAGAAGAAGGAAAGAGAGAGAGAGTGAGATACAAAGAAGAAGAAGAGAGATGGGGCGAAGAGGGGAGGTAGAGACAGGGGAATGGAAAAATGGAAAACGTAACAAAAGGAGAATAAAGAAACACAATAACACGTAAATAAATGGCAATAAAGACGAGAGATGAAGAAGAGAAGGAGACATTTAATGGCATAGGATGATAAATGGGTCACCAGAAACAACTCTGGAACACGGATCGACTTCTTCTTCTCTCTCTCTCAGGTGATTAGTGCTTTAAGACCTAGGTGAGTACAGGTAATTAATTCAGTCTTGGGATTCAATATTTTTCTAAGTTAAGTGAGTAGCGCATTTAGTTTTGCCCCTTGGTTAATGTACTGTGTGTGTGTGTGTGTGTGTGTGTGTGTGTGTGTGTGTGTGTGTGTGTGTGTGTGTGTGTGTGTGTGTGTGTGTGTGTGTGTGTGTGTGTGTGTGTGTGTGTGTGTGTGTGTGTGTGTGTGTGTGTGTGTGTGTGTGTGTGTGTGTGTGTGTGTGTGTGTGTGTGTGTGTGTGTGTGTTGTGTGTGTGTGTGGTGGGGTGTGTGTGTGTGTGTGTGGTGTGTGTGTGTGTGTGTGTGTGTGTGTGTGTGTGTGTGTGTGTGTGTGTGTGTGTGTGTGTGTGTGTGTGTGTGTGTGTGTGTGTGTGTGTGTGTGTGTGTGTGTGTGTGTGTGTGTGTGTGTGTGTGTGGGGGGTGTGTGTGTGTGTGTGTGTGTGTGTGTGTGTGTGTGTGTGTGTGTGTGTGTGTGTGTGTGTGTGTGTGTGTGTGTGTTAATTCTACAAGTGTTGACAAAGAAGTAACACATGAGCGGTGACAGGCCGTGGGGGGCTGACACAACAATGGCGTGACATGTTGTAACACACACACACACACACACCACTCAGCTATGTGTCCGAGGATTACTTACACACATACGCACGTACATATGACTACCCTATGTAAACACTGATGCATATATGTATGTTATATATACATTCATGTAAATATTTGTGAACATAATACGTACACACGCATATAAACATTGAGAGAGAGAGAGAGAGAGAGAGAGAGAGAGAGAGAGAGAGAGAGAGTATTTCTGGTATTGAACTTTGACTAATCCAATAATTTATATATCCCACACAGGTAAGACGTGAGGCCGGACAGGTGTAGAGGCCATACAGCTATAGAGGCCGGACAGGTGTAGAGGAGGTCGGACAGGTGCAACAAGAGACGGTGATGGCCAGGTAAATACCAGACCCACTTCCCTGTACAGTATTATGGCTCAGTGGTTAGACAACTTGACTCTGGTGTTCAAGGTCACTGGTTTGATCTTGACATCTGACCTAGGTGTTGATGGTTACCTGGCCATACACACATATATGGCTGTGGAGGATCTTGTTGTGGTTGTGTGGTTGATTTTGGTGTGATAAATGTCGAGAGTGAAAGACGGATAGTGAGGGGAAGGAAGGCGAGAAGATAGAAGAAGGAAGAGAGAGGAGGAAGGAGGAAGAGGGAGGAAGAAGGAGGAAGAGAGAGACAAAGTTAGAGAAATGAAGGGAGAAAAGAAGAAAGTTATCAAACATAATGTACACGTGTGTGTGTGTGTGTGTGTGTGTGTGTGTGTGTGTGTGTGTGTGTGTGTGTGTGTGTGTGTGTGTGTGTGTGTGTGTGTGTGTGTGTGTGTGTGTGTGTGTGTGTGTGTGTGTGTGTGTGTGTGTGTGTGTGTGTGTGTGTGTGTGTGTGTGTGTGTGTGTGTGTGTAACATCACCTGCGACCTACTCCATAACGCTAGGATAAGAAAGTGCAATACGTTTACACTTTCATGGTAGAGGAATGCAACAACATGTGTGCACCACTGTGTTATAGGAATGCATCATCTGTGCACTACTGTGGTAGAGGAATGCAACATATGTGCACTAGCTTCAAACATAGGTTGGATGCTTATATGAGCAATAGGAGTTGGGTGTAAATGGGACTGCCCAGTAAGGGCCAATAGGCCCGCTGCAGTTTCCTCCATTCTTATGCTCTTATGTTCTTACTGTGGTAGAGGAATGCAACATATGTGCACTACTGTGGTAGATGAATGCAACATATGTGCACTACTGTGGTAGAGGAATGCAACATATGTGCACTACTGTGGTAGATGAATGCAACATATGTGCACTACTGTGGTAGAGGAATGCAACATATGTGCACTACTGTGGTAGTGGAATGCAACATATGTGCACTACTGTGGTAGAGGAAGAACAGCAGGGAGAGAAAGTGGTGGTGGGTGGAGGTACTTGTTAGAAGGGAGGAAGGGGTATTCTGTGCCTTGGGCGGCGGTGGTGGGCAGCAGGAAAGAGGTAGGTGGGGAGGGTAGTGTAGGTGGGGAGGGTAGTGGGACAGGCAGGTGGGGAGGGTAGTGTAGGCAAAGGGGAGGAGGAGGAGGTGGGTTTAGGTAGTAGGTAGAGGTTGAGAAGGTTAAACAGGTAAGGTAGAGTGAGGAATAGTTAAGGTAAGGCAGGTAAGAGTGGCAGAAGGTAATAATTAAGGGCAGGTTGGGTATAGGAAGATAATAGAGAGGAAGATGGAGGGGTAGAGAGGGGGGGAGGGAGAGGGATGGAGAGGGGGGGAGGGAGAGGGGATGGAGAGGGGGGGGATGATAGAGGGAGGGAGGAATAATTTCAAGCCACCATTTAGCAGTGTTGTGTCTCATAATAATATACCTACGTGGACGACTTTTTTCTACATCAAACTACGCACATGGTCTCTTTAACCGACTACCTGCGTGGTTATATGGGAGTTACTGAGGCACAACTACGCTTACTTTACCTGTTCATGTGGTTGTGTAAAGAAATCACCTGAAGATTAGACCCCCCCTCTGTTTATTTCACCTGAGGATTAAACACCTTTATTTTACCTGAGGTGGATATTAGCTTTGGTTAGGTTAGGTTAGGTTAGGTTAGGTTAGGTTAGGTTAGGCTAGGTTAGGTTAGGCTAGGTTAGGTTAGGTTAGCGATAGGTTAGGTTAAATTAGCGTTAAGTTTGGTTAGCTTAATTTAACATAGGGTGGTTAATCTTAAAGCTGGTATAAGCTGGGGTGGTTAATCTTAAAGCTGATATAAGCTAGGGTGGTTAATCTTCAGGTGATCCGTATAAAGTACATTTTAGATCAGCTGAGGCGTTAATAAACAGTACAGCATCGCATTTACCCGACACAACACCCTCCCGTCCCCTCATGTGCAGAGCAAATAATTACATAGCAGTGTTAGCGATGCGTTTATCATGGCATAGAAGGTTTATATTCGTTTTGTCGTGTATGCTGGTAGGTTGGTATATCCTGGTGTGGTGATGGAGAGCTTGGTATATATTGGTATATAACCCTGGTGTTGTTCAGTCAGGGAGGGAGGGTGGGAGGAGCTCAGCCAACTGGACGTGTATGGAGGCAGATGCTGTTGCGTTTTTTTAACCTCTCGACATTGTGTGATAAATGGTGTCTTACTGTTGGTCCCAGGGGCGGGAGGTGGTGGCTGCGGCACGTGAGTTGGTGGCGTGCAGCACGGAGGGGGTGGCGTGCAACACGTGAGGTGGTGGCTTGCAGAACGTGGTAGGGTGGCGTGGACCCCGGGGCCATATAAGATTCGCGTGGCAACATGAAGACTCACGGGGCCACACATAGACTCACGGGGCCACACTAAGACTCACGGGGCCACACTTATGGTATACAACACAAGCTATACACCGTAAGAAACCAAGGTGGAAGGGGGAGGTGGCCTTTTGTCACTCTCCCCTCCCCCACCGACCCTTTGAGTACCCGTTCCCCATCGTCTGCTCCCCTCCCCTCCCTTCCTCTCCCCCCTTCTTCTCTCCTCCTCTCCTCCCTTCTCCTCTCTTCTGCCCCCCCCTACCCCTGCACTCCATATTCAGAATTCCTCCCCCAGGCTGACATGCTAACAGTGTCCTGCTTCCCTGCATTCCAGTAGTGAACACTTGCATACAGTGTAGGTGGGGGAGGGGCAGGGACCATGGGTAAGTGGGTAGGATAGGGTGCTGATAAGAGGGGTAGGGGTGATGGATAAGGGTAGGATAGGACAGGGATAATAGGTAGGGGAAAGGGATGGATAAGGGTAGGGTAGGATAGGATAATAGGTAGGGTAGGGTGATGGATAAGGGTAGGGTAGGATAGGATAATAGGTAGGGTAGGGTGATGGATAAGGGTAGGGTAGGATAGGATAATAGGTAGGGTAGGGTAGGGTGATGGACAAGGGTAGGGTAGGATAGGATAATAGGTAGGGTAGGGTAGGGTGATGGATAAGGGTAGGGTAGGATAGGATAATAGGTAGGGTAAAGTCGGGTCATAGGTAAGTGGTGGGTGTGGAGCATACATGGAACCTCAGCATACATATAGAGGCTCATACATGAAGGCTCAACACATACATGGAGCCTCATACATGAAGGCTCAACACATACATGGAGCCTCATACATAAGGCTCAACACATACATGGAGCCTCATACATAAGGCTCAACACATACATGGAGCCTCATACATAAGGCTCAACACATACATGGAGCCTCATACATAAGGCTCAACACATACATGGAGCCTCATACATAAGGCTCAGACGTCAGCAGGAACACAGACTCTCAGCGCCCATTGACCCAGCCTCACCTGGTAATTAATTTAGGTTAATTAAGGCCATCAGGAGTAATGTCTGAGATGGATGGAAAGGCCAGATATGTGCCGGATATTGTTCTGCCCTCTCATTGTCTGAGTTTGGCACTGTAGGAGACCCTGGCACTGTAGGAGACCCTGGCACTGTAGGAGATCCTGGTACTGTTGGAGACCCTGGCACTGTTGGAGACCCTGGCACTGTTGGAGATCCTGGCACTGTTGGAGACCCTGGCACTGTAGGAGACCCTGGCACTGTTAGAGACCCTGGCACTGTTGGAGACCTTGGCACTGTAGGAGATTCTGGCGCTGTAGGAAATCCTGGCAATGTAGGAGATCCTGGCACTGTAGGAGATCCTGGTACTGTTGGAGATTCTGGCACTGTAGAGATCCTGGCACTGTTGGAGACCCTGGCACTGTAGGAGACCCTGGTACTGTAGGAGACCTGGCACTGTAGGAGACCCTGCACTGTAGGAGACTGGCACTGTAGGAGATCCTGGTACTGTTGGAGACCCTGGCACTGTTGGAGAGACCCTGGCACTGTTGGAGATCCTGGCACTGTGGAGACCCTGGCACTGTAGGGAGACCCTGGCACTGTTAGAGACCCTGGCACTGTTAGAGACCCTGGCACTGGCACTGTTGGAGACCCTGGCATTGTGGAGATCCTGGCACTGTAGGAGATCCTGACAATGTAGGAGATTCTGGCACTGTAGGAGACCCTGGCACTGTAGGGAGATTCTGGCACTGTGGAAATCCTGGCACTGTAGGAGACCCTGGCACTGTTGGAGACCCTGGCACTGTAGGAGATCCTGGCACTGTTGGAGACCCTGGCACTGTTGGAGACCCTGGCATTGTAGGAGACCCTGGCACTGTAGGAGACCCTGGCACTGTTGGAGACCCTGGTACTGTTGGAGACCCTGGCACTGTAGGAGACCCTGGCATTGTAGGAGATCCTGGCACTGTAGGGAGATCCTGGCAATGTAGGAGATTCTGGCACTGTAGGAGACCCTGGCACTGTAGGAGATTCTGGCACTAGGAAATCCTGGCACTGTAGGAGATCCTGGCACTGTTGGAGACCCTGGCACTGTTGGAGACCCTGGTACTGTTGGAGACCCTGGCACTGTTGGAGACCCTGGCATTGTAGGAGATTCTGGCACTGTAGGAGACCCTGGCACTGTAGGAGATTCTGGCACTGTAGGAAATCCTGGCACTGAGACCCTGGCACTGTTGGAGACACTGGCACTGTAGGAGATCCTGGCACTGCTGGAGACCCTGGCACTGTTGGAGACCCTGGCATTGTAGGGAGACCCTGGCACTGTAGGAGACCCTGGCACTGTAGGAGATCTGGCACTGTCCTGGCACTGTAGGAGACCCTGGCACTGTTGGAGACCCTGGCATTGTAGGAGATTCTGGCACTGTAGGAGACCCTGGCACTGTTGGAGACCCTGGCATTGTAGGAGACCCTGGCACTGTTGGAGACCCTGGCATTGTAGGAGATTCTGCACTGTAGGAGATCCTGACAATGTGGAGATTCTGGCACTGTAGGAGACCCTGGCACTGTAGGAGATCCTGGCACTGTTGGAGACCCTGACACTGTTGGAGACCCTGGCACTGTTGGAGACCCTGGCATTGTAGGAGACCCTGACACTGTAGGAGATCCTGGCACTGTTGGAGACCCTGGCACTGTAGGAGATCCTGTCACTGTAGGAGATTCTGGCACTGTAGGAGATCCTGGCACTGCTGGAGACCCTGGCACTGTTGGAGACCCCTGACATTGTAGGGAGACCCTGGCATTCTTGGAGATCCTGGCACTGTTGGAGATCCTGCAGAGACCTGGCACTGTAGGAGATCCTGTCACTGTAGGAGATTCTGGCACTGTTGGAGATCTTGTACTGTTGGAGACCCTGACACTGTTGGAGACCCTGGCACCGTAGGAGACCCTGGCACTGTAGGAGATTCTGGGCACTGTTGGAGATCCTAGCACTGTCGGCATTGTTGGAGATCCTAGCACTCTCGGCACTGTTGGAGACGCTGGCACTGTTGGAGATCCTGGTACTGTTGGCACTGTTGGATACCCTGGCACTGTTGTACACTCTGGCACTGCTGGAGACCCTGATACTGTTGGAACCCTGGCACTGCTGGAGAGAGAGAGAGAGAGAGAGAGAGAGAGAGAGAGAGAGAGAGAGAGAGAGAGAGAGAGAGAGAGAGAGAGAGAGAGACTACCCTAAGTACAGTGGAGGAGGACAAGAACTTAATAAGATAATAAACAGGAAACAAGAATAAAGATTAGGAACCTTGAGTACAGAGACAGGTTAAAGCATCTTAATCTGCACTCCCTCGAGAGACGTAGAGTGAGGGGCGATATGATAGAGGTGTATAAATGGAAGTCAGGGCTGAACAAAGGGGACATTACAAAGGTACTCAAACTATCCAACCGGGAGTGAACTCGTAACAATGGTTTTAAATTAGAAAAAAACATAGATTTAGGCGCGAAATAGGTAAACATTGGTTTGGAAATAGAGTAGTGGACGAGTCGAACAAGTTACCAAACATCATCATTAACTCGAATACGCTGGATAGCTTCAAACATAGGTTGGGTGGATATATGAGCAATAGGGGTTGGGTGTAAATGGGACTGCCCAGTAAGGCCCGCTGCAGTTTCCTCCATCCTTATGTTCTTAATTGTTGTGATGAACTGTGTAAATAATGGTAGAGTAATTAATGCTTGGCAGGTATACTGATTCACAAGGAGAGAGTGGATGACACGCTTAACGAGAGAGAGGGGGTTAGATTAGGTTAGCGTCTGGGTGTATAATCATAAGATGGAATAAAAGGGGTGACTTCTTCAGGTGATCCCAGACAAACATACATACATACATACATACACACATACACATACATACATACATACATACATACAAAATTCCCAGAGAGAAACTTTATGCACTCAGGTCAAGCGCTTTCACACAGGTGAGGTAGAGTCAGGTAGCGGCTCTTGAGTGGGTATTAATTGGCTTCACCTGGGTAGTGAACTGGGCAGGTGAGGGCACAGCGTGATGGTATGTTTGGTCAGGGAGATGTGGCAAGAATATACCCAGGGTAGATGGTGCTTGCTGGGGGGGGGTGTAGTAATAGTACATAGTGCATAAGAACATAAGGAGTCTGCAATAGGCGGGTTGGCCTGTGCATGGCAGCTCCTGTCGAGAGTTACTACCACTCTCTATCATCCATGAATCTATCTAGCCTCCTTTTAAAACTTTCCAGCGTTCCAGCACTTACTACAAAGTTGCTTGGCTTGTTCCACTCGTCCACCATCCTATTTGTGAACCAGTTCCTTCCTATCTCCCTCCTAAACCTAAACTTATCCAACTTGAATCCGTTGCTCCGAGTCCTATCCTGCTCGGATATTATAAGAACTTTATCTATATCCCCTTTATTGATTCCTTTCACCCACTTAAATACTTCTATCATATCTCCCCGCACTCTTCGTCTTTCTAGGGAATGCAAGTTAAGTTTCTTTAACCTCTCTTGATATGGAAGGTTTCCAAGTCCCGGAATCATTTTCGCCATTCTTCGCTGCACCGATTCCAGTGAATTGATATCCATTCTATAATAAGGGCACCAGAACTGAACCGTATAATCGAGGTGCGGCCTGACTAGCGCAAGATATAGTTGCAATAAGACCTCTGCACTCTTATTACTTACACTTCTAGATATAAAACCTAATACTCTGTTTGCCTTATTTCGAACATTAACGCACTGTTTTCTAGGCCGTAAGTCCGGGCTTACAAGTACCCCTAAGCCTCTTTCACAAGTCGACTTCTCTAGGTTGATGTTGTTAAGGCTGTATACATTGACAGTATTTGTTCTTCCAATATTAAGTACGCTGCACTTGCTGGTGTTGGATTTGCCATTTTTCATGCTCAATTTTCTGACCACCCTGCAGTTTATTTAAATCCTCCTGTAGTGCATTTGCATCCTGCCCTGAATTAATCTGCCGCCCTATTTTGGTGTCATCCGCAAACTTGCTTATGTCACTGCTGATCCCAGTACCTAGATCGTTTATGTTGATTATGAACAAGAGTGGGCCCAGTACTGACCCCTGGGGAACCCCACTGGTTACACAGCCCCACTCAGATTTAACACCATCTACGCTGACCCTCTGCGTTCTATCGGTGAGCCATGATTTTATCCAATTTAAAACTTTCCTCTCGATACCATGAGCCTTAACTTTCTCAGAAGCCTCTGATGCGGTACTCTGTCAAATGCTTTGCTAAAGTCTAAGTAAATAACATCGTAATTTTCGTCATTATCTACTACCTCGAAGACTTTCCTAAAAAACGTTAGCAGATTTGTTAGACAAGATTTTCCCTTTGTAAACCCATGTTGAGAGTCGTAGATTAATAGTGGAAGTAGTATTTGCTTTACTAGTAGTAGTTAATAGTTAGTGATAGTCGTAGTAATAGTTATTAAGTAGTAGCAGTCGTCGTAGCAGTCGTCGTAGTAATAGTAGTCGTAGTAACAACAGTAACATCGGTAACACGGAAATGGTATTGGTAACATTGTCAACATCGTACAATAACAGCTAGTGGTACAGCCGAGGGTCACACGCTGTTACAATACTCGTGCTGTTAACTACTGTACAGCGTTACTGAGTCGTTAACAGCTACCCTCAGCGTTGCAACCATCAGTCATCGTAACAGTGACAGATGATGTGTGGTGACGGCCGTAACAGGTGCTCAGAGGCTCACCTGTCACACCTTCCCTCAAGTTGTTAATTAGGTTTACCTGTGTGGGTTACGGCAGGTGAGAGATGGCTTGTCAACACGGTGTTCTGAGTGGCTATTGGGGCCAGAAACCTTAATTCTGGTTTGCTGACTGTAGTTGCCTCTCGTCTTGTTCCCTTTTCTGATTGGTTGACGATAGTTCTCTCGTCTTTTTCCTTCCTTCTGATTGGATAACTATAACTCGACGTCTTTTTCCTTTATTTTAATTGGTTGACTATAGCTCTCTCGTCTTCTTCCTTTTTCCTGATTGGTTCCAGAACTAGAACACCTCCAGGGGTCAAATTTAGTGAAGGTCAAGGTCAGAGCTTTGAAAATGGCAATAACTTCTCCTGTGTGTGTGTGTGTGTGTGTGTGTCAGTCGTGTTATGGTCCAGTCTCCGACGTTTCCCTGACTTCGTCGCACTGAGACGAAACACGGAAGCAGGATTCGTCTGTCTGTCTGTCTGTCTGTCTGTCTGTCTGTCTGGGCTTTGAATTGATGAAACTGATGTATATACTGCATGACAAAGTATAATCTCTCTTTCTCTCCTTCAGGCACATCCTTTTCTCCAGCATTCCTCTCTCACTTCCCACTCCTTTCTCTCCTCCTCTTTTCAATCTGGGGGTTGTCCCACGCACCATGACCATTCCCTATGTTAATTACAACATGTGGGTCATGTGTCCACCTTTCTCCTCCCTCCCTCTTCCCTCTCTCCACCCTCTTATCTATCCACCTCTCTATCTTATACCTCCCCTCTCTCCTTTCCCCTTCTCCACCTGCCCTATATTTTATATCTTCCCTTCCCTCTTCTCCCTCTCCTCCCTCTATGCCTACCCCTTCCCTCCCTTCCCTCTCTTCTCCTTAATCCGCCCTACCTTCCCTTCCCCTCTTTCTATGTATCCTTCCCCTCCCTTTCCTTCCGTTCTCTCTCTTCTCTCTCTCTCTCTTCTTCCCTCCTTTCTTCTCCTCTATCCCTCCTGGCGACATATGGAAGCTGTTTATGTATCACCAAACGTCGCCTAGAGAGCAGTTGACCAGCAGACAGGTTAAGGAGCGCTACTACCCTTGTGTACATATCTTTTATCCAGTAAATTGAACCTACAAACAATACAGGTGTTTGTGTTCGCTCCTGTATATAGAACTTAATACCCAGAACACGAACACCTCCCTCCCACCATCCCTCTCTTTCACTTCCCTATCACTCCCTACCTTTGACCTCAGTGTTTAGATACGCCCGCACCCTCTCTCTCTCTCTCTCTCTCTCTCTCTCTCTCTCTCTCTCTCTCTGAACCAAATGTGTTCGGGTGTGTGATCATAAGCCAGGTGTGGGATCATAAGCCAGATGTGACAGGTGTGTGATCATAAGCCATGTGTGTACAGGTGTGTGATCATTAGCCAGGTGTGTGATCATAAACCTGGTGTCGACAGGCGTGTGATCGTAAGCCAGGTGGTGACAGGTGTGTACAGGTGTGTGATCGTATGCCAGGTGTGTACAGGTATGTGATCGTAAGTCATATGTTAACAGGTGTGTTATCATAGACCAGGTGTTGACAGGTGTGTGATCATAGGTATGGTGGTCATAGCGTGGCAGTTCAAGGTCACTTATAGATGACAGGCGTGGGCGTGTGGGCGTGCAAGGGTATAGGCCAGGCGTGTGGGCGCAGGTGGAGGACATGGCAGGTGTGAGCGCGGAACTTATGGGCGTAGTGGTCATCTTTTTTTTGTTTTTTTTTTACCTTATTGTTTCCCGCAGACAACAGCTAGTTTACTGTGCACCCCACACTCATCCTGCGAGCGGTAGCGGTACAGATTAGAGATAACATAGGAGGTGTATAATAGAAATGGTGTGGATATTGTAGCACAGAATGTTACTCCAGTACATTGTTTGTTTAGTTGTGTACATAGAGGTTGACTTAGTCGCATCTGTGTGAGGCTTCGTTCAGCTGCACACATTGTTATTCACAGCTGCATGAGAGGCACTAAAGTATATTGTGTTTAATTCAATACATAGAAACTGACTTGGGTATTAGATACAGAATCGTGGCTACAATCTTAATATATCAGCTATCTTGCCATCAGTGATAAGAGGTGAGCCATTATACACGCAATGGAGAGTGTGGCCATATGTCGAGCCACCACACACACACACACACCCACCCACACACACACACACACACACACACACACACACACACACACACACACACATACACACACCCACCCACA